GCCCAGATGGCCTGAAGTAACTGAAGAATCACAAAAGAAGTGCAAATGCCCTGCCTCAACTTAACTGATGACATTCCACCACTAAAGAAGTGAAAATGGCCGGTCCTTGCCTTAAGCGAAGATATTATCTTATGAAATTCCTTTTCCTGGCTCATCCTGGTTCAAAAAGCTCCCCCACTGAGCACCTTGTGACCCCCTACTCCTGCCCACCAGAGAACAAACCCCCTTTGACTGTAATTTTCCTTTACCTACCCAAATCCTATAAAACAGCCCCACCCTTATCTCCCTTCACTGACTCTCTTTTCGGACTCAGCCCGCCTGCACCCAGGTAAAATAAACAGCCAGGTTGCTCACACAAAGCCTGTTTGGTGGTCTCTTCACACGGACACGCATGACATCTGTAATCTCAGCTGCTTGGGAGGCTGAGACACGAGAATCGCTTGAACCCGGGAGGCGGAGGTTGCAGTGAGCGGAGATCGCGCCACTACACTCCAGCCTGGGTGACAGAGTGAGACTCCATTTCAAAAAAAGAAGAAAAGAAAAAAATCATTTTTCCCTACGGGAACGGTATAATTAGGATACAATTGTTTCTGCAAGAGCACAAATTCGCTTGGAAGGAGTCAATGTGAATCGTATGCCCAGAACAGTGACTAACACTTCAATTACTATCATTATTCGGAACCTGAGATAAGAGAACCAGTCAAGGTCAGGCCCAAGGTCATTTTCTGGACCGGGCTCCAACTGGGCTGAGCCGCAGCAGAACTGTACCCCACCCCAAGTTCCATGAATGTGTTTTACAGGATTGGAGTCCACCTCGGTAGCCGTCCTCGTGACAGATCACATCCCTTCTGGTTAAGTCCAGGAGAATCCGGAAATACGGAAGGCAACCAAGCCAGAAGGCGTTGTAACTTCCTAAGATTGTCCAACCTCAAAGCGGGAGGCGGGACGACGGTCACTCATTTGCCCGCGTGACGCCGGTCTACGATTGGCCAGTGCCGTACTGGGCTGTTCGTAGCTGCGACGGTTTCCCATAGGCTGGCACAGAAAGGGGCGGGGCAACAGGAGTGCAGCGTTACCAATCGGCATGCGGGAAGTAACGCAATTCTTTTTTCCGATTGGTCCGTGAAGCTCGGGCGGTCACTGGGAGATCGACCTTGGGATAGAACGTCTGCCTTTTATTGGTCAATACGCTTCGGGGCGGGCAATGTGGCGCTCCGAGGCTGCCTGCGATTGGTGGACGCGGCGCGGCTCAGGGCGGACCTGCGGACTGAAGATCCCTATGCATTGGTCGGGATGCCGGAGGGGCGGGCAATTTGGGATCGACTGTGACTCGCGACTGGTCGGCGCTGCGAGAGCAGAGCGGCGCTCGGATTCCTTGGCTCCCGAGGGCTATGGCGCGGGGTGGCTGGCGCCGCCTGCGCCGCCTGTTATCCGCGGGGCAGCTTCTATTCCAGGGCCGCGCGCTGCTCGTCACCAACACGCTGGGCTGCGGCGCGCTCATGGCGGCCGGTGATGGCATGCGCCAGTCATGGGAGATCCGTGCCCGGCCCGGCCAGGTTTTCGACCCGCGGCGCTCCGGTGAGGACGCCACGCTACTTAGCCCTTCACCCCGGGCGGCCTTTGATGCCGATACCCGACTGCTGGCCGTGACCCCTGACCCGTGGCCTCAGTCCCCCGCAGGACCCTTGCCCTGACCGCGCCTCTTCCGGGTGTCTGTCTCCCGCAGCCCTGGGTCTTCATCACCTCCCAACCCCCGGGGGTCTCTACCCACTACCTAGGAGCCTCTGGAGCCGCGCCTGCTGGTGGGGCTTGTAGTGGAAGAATGCACGGGTGGGCTCTTCCGGTTTTCTCGGTGAGGCTGAGGCTCCGGGATGGCATTGGGCTTACCCAGGCCTTAGCCAGGGAGGGAGGGAGTGGACTGGAGAATTTGCCGGCCCAACCCAGCCCCCTGACTTACACTCTTATAGCGAGCATGTTTGCGGTGGGCTGCAGCATGGGTCCCTTCCTGCACTACTGGTACTTGTCGCTGGACCGTCTATTCCCTGCGTCTGGCCTCCGAGGCTTCCCAAATGTCCTCAAGAAGGTCCTCGTGGATCAGCTGGTAGCCTCTCCCTTGCTGGGCGTCTGGTACTTCTTGGGTAAGGAGCCTCCTAAGCCTAGGCTTTGCCTCTCATAGGTGGCGAGGGGTGGAGCCAGCTTTGTGTTAAGAAGGATGCAGAGGTGCATTTCCAATGTGCCCCATTTGGGTGGCCCCGGACTAGGAGCCAGGTCACAGCGGGGACGGGACAGACTCGGCCGATGTGAACGCTGGCGAGTGTAGGAGAGACCTCGTCCCTCCTACAGTATCTGCTGGGGCCGTCCTGGGCGGGAGGTTGAGAGCATTTCCCAAAGAAGGGGACGACACTCAGTTGAGACATGAAGAGGGAACCACATCGGGCAGAGGGAACAGCTAATGCAAAGGCTCTGAGACCTGAAGGAAGAGAAATTGAGGCTGGACTTCTTGAGGTGCAACCGTGCCAGCCCTAGGCTCGGTAAAGACAGCAGTATTAATAGAGGAGTCTCTCATTCTCCACCTCCCAGGCCGGCTTCCTGGTCTGTGATGGAAAAGTAATACAACTGCCTCAACTACAGGGTGTGTCTCCTTTGGGGCACGTGTTTATATGTTTATGACCTCTGTCTCTCACTGGGACTGACTTGCTCTGTTTTGTCCCTACACCAGCTACCCTAATTATCTGTCCATCCCATCTGAAAGTCCCTGTCCCTCTGCCCGGGGTGGGGGGCGCGGGCTCTCAGGGGCCCAACCCCGCGCCCTCCATCGTCAGCCCATCTTGTCATCTCAACAGTACTTCGTGGCCTCTAACACTCTGATTTCTTGGTTTCCTTCCCAGGCCTTGGCTGCCTGGAGGGTCAGACAGTGGGTGAGAGCTGCCAGGAGCTGCGGGAGAAGTTCTGGGAATTCTACAAGGTGGGAGCACCCGCCCCTTGCCCCTGTCCGGCCTCGCCCCCTCATGGACGCTCCGCCCCCACCCAGCTCCGGCCCCGCCCCTCATTCCCCGCCTCTCCCCGCAGGCAGACTGGTGCGTGTGGCCTGCTGCACAGTTCGTGAACTTCCTCTTCGTGCCCCCCCAATTTCGAGTCACCTACATCAACGGCCTGACGCTGGGCTGGGACACATACCTGTCGTACTTGAAGTACCGGGTGAGTGTGGAGGGCATACCAGGCACCCAGGGGACTCCCCAGGGGGCTACACGTGTGAGCTCCAAGTGGCAGTGTAGCCAGCCACCCTGGAAAGTGGGAGTCCCCTGTGCTCCAGGCAACCTTTACGCAACAGTGGGCTGGCGGAGAGCTCCTCACTGGCCATTAAGACCCAGCCCCGGCTGGGCGCCATGGCTCATGCCTGTAATCCCAGCACTTTGGGAGGCCCAAGCGGGTGGATTGCCTGAGATTGGGAGTTCGAGAGCAGCCTGGGCAATCTGGTGAAACCCCTTCTCTACTAAAAATACAAAAAATTAGTGGCACCCACCTGTAATCCCAGTTACTTGAGAGGCTGAGGCAGGAGAATCGCTTGAACCCAGGAGGCAGAGGCTGCAGTGAGCCGAGATCATGCCACTGCACTCCAGCCCAGGTGACAGAGCGAGACTCCGTTTCAAAAAAAAGAAAAAGACCCATCCCTTCTGCGCTGTCTGATGCGACCTCAGCCAGGTCCCTGCCATGTCTGTTGAGCAGGGCTGACGTCTGGCCCGAGGGCAGGTAGGATAGGGCTCAGTTAGGAGGGACCAGGAGGGATGAGCCAGGCTTCTGACCAGATGCCTTGTCTTGTGTGGACAGAGCCCAGTTCCTCTGACATCCCCAGGCTGTGTGGCCCTGGACACTCGAGCAGACTGAACTGTCCACCTCCGGGACCAGATGCAAGACTGACTCCTGGCAGACCACCCCCTCTACCAGAAGGGGAATGGGCTCCTGCAGCGAGCTCGGGTCCTGGGCCACGTCCCAGCGCCACTCCAGCTCCCGGGCATTGGGCTGAGCCGCCCTTCCCAAGTGCACTTCTGGGACTCAGTTTCCCCAACTGGAACACACCCGTGAAGATGGATGATCATCCCCTAGCCCTTCTCAGCAGGAACCTCATACGACCTGTGACCAAGATGTCCCACTTGGGACTCAGCACGGGGCTCACCCTGCCAACCAGTCCCAAGCCCCAACCCCTCAACACTGCCGTCCACCTGGCTCTGGGCCAAGCCACCGATCCAGAGCTCCCTCAGGTCCTGGGACCAAGGCAGGGATGTGGCCAATCCCCTCAGAGCAGGCTCAGGCCTGGAGTCGGCCCCCAAAAGTTTCAGGCAGGGCCGGGCAGCCTCTGTGTTTCCTTCCCTGGTTGTGAACTGTGGAAATGCCATTAATTTATCTCTGTAATGTAATTGAAACTGCTGGCTGGGCGCAGTGGCTCACACCTGTAATCTCAGCCCTTCTCAAGGCTGAGGTGGAAGGATTGCTTGAGGCCAGGTGTTCGAGACCAGCCTGGGCAACATAGCAAGACCCTGTCTCTATTTATATTGAAAAATAAAAATAACAAAAGAAAATGCTGTGGATGGTCAAAACCAGGGTGGGCAGGGCCCGGTGCTCACAGGAACACACGTGGTCCGTTCGCTTTATTGGGTGTGTGTAGTGTTGTCTTGACATCTCCTAAGGAACTGGGGGGCACGTTTGACACTTATGAGGTCAGAACAGGTCTGGTGGGTAGGGGGAGGGGTCCCAGGGTGGTGAATACCCACAGCACAGCCCCCCACCAAAAGAGAAAACTGGGGGAGAGGAGCCCGGCAGGCCAGACTCTGACCCCCATGGTCCGCACAGGGAAACCCCCAACAGCGGCCTCAGCCCACCGCGGCAGAGCCGAGGGACTGGCAGGCCTGGCCACCTCCCATTGCCCGATCAGCCTGCTCTAGGGTGTCATCTGGCCCCCTCTTCACAACTGACAACTGTGGTTGGGGGTGAATTTAAAAAAAAGGCGAGGGGGTTCAGGAGGGTGAGTGGTGAGTTCACAGGGCCACGAGACACCACGGCTGAGTGGGGAAAGGGCTATATGTACAGGATGGGCAGGGCTTGGGGTGGGCAGGGGAGCCCGGCCCCCTGGGGGACATCTTCGATAAATAAATAAATAGCTACAATAATAAATAAGGGTGACGGGCTAAGTCAGGAGTAGGGGTCTTGTGCCCATGGCTGGTAGGGGCCAGGTCAGGCCCGGGTAGTTGGGGGAAGGTGGGGAAGACGGGGAAGAGGGGAAAGGGGGCGGGGTGGCTCTCAGCAGGCGCAGTCCTGGTGAGGTGGCACCTGCTGGTCACTGAGCTGTGGGCCCTGCTTGGCGCCTGTGACCGCAGGGTCTGCCGTGTCCAACGACTCGGACATCTTCTCGCAGATGACGTCCACCAGGCGCTCAAAGGTCTGCTTGACGTTGATGTTGTCCTTGGCGCTGGCCTCAAAGAACTCGAACCCTGTGGTCAGGGAAGGCAGAGATGAGGACCCTGGCCACGCCCTATGCCAACTCCCAGAGATGCTTCTCTGAGGAAAGGAAACACTGGAGATTCCCAGTGCCAAGCAGCTTATTGAAGGTACTGACAAATCCCGCAGAAAAGCAACGTTGAACTGGGTCAGCTCTGCATTTCCTGCTTTTTTTTTTTTTTTTTTTTTTTTTTGAGACAGGGCCTTGCTGTGTTGCCCAGGATGGAGTATGGTGGCGTGATCATAGCTCACTGCAGTTTCGACCTCCTGGGCTCAAGTAATCCTCCACCTCCACCTCTCAAAGTGCTGGGATTATAGGCGTGAGCCAGTGCACCTGGCCTCCTGCCCTTCCTTCCTAAAACTGTGTCTCGTTGTCCTTAGGACCTGGCAAGACATGCCCTGCAGCGTCCAGCCCAGCACCATATACTGGCCCTGGAAGCCTCAGACACTCAAATCCAGCCATGACCTCCCCCCTGCTCACACACCCTCTGTGGCTCCCTATTGCCCTCCAAAGAGTCCCAGCCTCTCAGCATATGGTTGAGGCCCTCTCTGATCGGCTACATTTCCTCCAGCTGACCCTCATGTTTCAGTCTTGTGAAATTATCACCAAAACACACAGGATCTTTCTCACCGCAAGCCTTTGCCCAAGCTACTTCCTCTGCCTGAAAAACCCTTCTTCCAAGCTCTAGAGTCCACTGCCCACCACTCCAGGAAGCCTGGCTCCTCTCATGGGCTCCTCTCATCCAGGTCCCTCCCTCCACCTCAGGGGTCCCTTGAGGCCTCCCTAGATGCCTCTCGAGCCCAGTAACACCCAACAAAGCGTTGGACGATGAGTGTCAGAATCAATCCTTAAACTTTCTGCATGGTGAACTCCTACACATCCCTCAAGATCCGACACAAATGGCTCCTGGATGAAGGCTAGTTTGCAGAAAGTGTGAATTACCTGGCTTAGCTGTAAGACCTTGGGTGTGAGCCCTCCCCTCTCTTAGTGTCCTTTTTCTAGCCTTGTGGGTCTCTAGCCCAGCTGGGCACTCACCAAGGTGGTCAGCTAGCTGCCGGCCACGTTCTGATGACACCACCCGCTCATCCTCCATGTCACACTTGTTTCCTACCAGCAGCACCTGGGCATTGTCCCACGAGTAGGTCTTGATCTGGGTGGACCTATAGGATGCAGCGAGAGGGGGACAGGTTATTGCTTGGAGGATCCCAGCTCCACCCTGACGGGCTGGTGTGGAGCCCGTGTCCTTGTCCGAGGGAGAAGGACCCTGAAGCTTGGCCCTCCATCCTCCCCACCATGCTTTTCCCCCATGTGCCCCTCGTTCACCCCACTCCAGCCCCCATTGACCCATTATTGCTTTTGTGTTTTGTGTTTTTTTTTTTTTTAAGATAGAGTCTGGCTCTGTTGCCCAGGCTGGAGTATCTGTCTGCCTTGACTTCTCAAAGTGTTGGAATTATAGGCATGAGCCACCCAGCCCAGAAATTTTCTTTTTTTGAGATAGAGTCTTGCTCTGTTGCCCAGGCTGGAGTGCAGTGGTGCGATCTAGGCTCACTGCAACCTCTGCCTCCCAGGTTCAAGTGATTCTCCTGCCTCACCCTCCCAAATAGCTGGGACTACAGGCATGAGCCACCACGTTTGGGTAATTTTTTGTGCTTTTAGTAGAGACAGGGTTTCACTATGTTGGCCAGGATGGTCTAGAACTCCTGAGCTCAAGATCCACCCACCTCGGCCTCCCAAGGTGCTGGGATTACAGGTGTGAGCCACTGTGCCCAGCCCAGAAATTTTTTTAAAGTTATTATTTCTAGGAAAAAAAAAACAAAACAGTTATTACTTCTGAGCAGAAAATTGAAATGTTTGCAACCTCTAACCTATGCCAACTCTCTTTTTTTTTCTTTTTTTTTTGAGACAGAGTTTTGCTTTTGTTGCCCAGGCTGGAGTGAGTGCCATGGCGCAATCTTGGCTCACTGCAACCTCCGCCTCCTGGGTTTGAGCGATTCTCCTGCCTCAGGCTCCCAAGTAGCTGGGATTACAGGCATGCGCTACCACGTCTGGCTAATTTTTGCATTTTTAGTAGAGATGGGGTTTCTCCATTTTGGTCAGGCTGGTCTCGAACTCCTGACCGCAGGTAATCCACCTGCCTTAGCCTCCCAAAGTGCTGGGATTACAGGTGTGAGCCACTGCGCCCGGCCATGCCAACTCTCCTTATAGTCTCTATATTCTCCACCCTACACTTGCAGATATTTTTTTTCTACATGGTTATAGTTTTACTTTTCCATTTGAAATCCTTCCCAGACCCCTACCTTTTATTTGTTATTTTTTGAAGAAAGTTTGGCTCAGAGACAATGGCCCCAGAATGAGTGTGGAAGGCCAGAAGCGATGGCTCATGCCCATCATCCCAGCACTTTGGGAGGCCAAGGTGGGCAGATCACTTGAGCCACGGAGTTCAAGACCAGCCTGGGCAACATAACGAAATCGCATCTCAACTAAAAATACAAAAAATGAGCCAGGTGTGGTGGTATGCACCTGTAGTCCCAGCTACTTGGGAGGCTGAGACAGGAGGATCACTTGAGCCCAGGAGGTCGAGGCTGCA